TCACCATTAAATTCATCTACGATTGTTTTAAGTTTGACAAGATAATCAACAAATTCATTGCAGGTGAAAACCCTCGTCATCAACATCAGCGTACTCATCTGCCTTGTCAACAATGGATTCCTCCATATGATTGGCTTTAGTAAACCCCTTCTGTAGTTTCTGTATATTCATGCCCGCTCTACTCTCCTCGTGCTTATTATGGCTACAGCTGAGGCAAAGGTGGGTTGGTCTGCATACCTGTCAATTGCTAGTTGAATGTCAGAAACCATCTTCACTTGGTCAGCCAGTAAATTGCGTTGTGAATTAGCTTGATCAAGATTAACTTGCATCGCTTTAAATTGAACTCTCAAATTTTCCATTTCACGGGAAAGTTTTGTAGCATCGATTTGTTCAAGTAGAGCACTTTGGATTTTTGATAAGTCTGCTGCGACAAAAGTAGGCAGCCGAGATGGATCATGTAATTTATAATAGCATTAAGCATAATGTCAGGCTTCCTTGACCTTTTGTGCAGGTTATCTTCAGTGTCGTCAACATATGCAGTCAATAAATCCTTTGCTATCTTTATGTCATTTGGATCAAATTCAGATAAACATATATGGTGTACATGATCAATTGTCATTGATCTCATGTTGTTGCTTATATAGCACAAGAGCTCATTTACAACCAACTCACTAGATATACCCATATCATCCGCCAAAATAGAATGCTCATTTAACTCAGAATGAAATGAGACAGGCCTGTTAATACTCATAATTGTGCTACTACTTTCAAGAATCACACGTACAACCACAGGATTCGTCAGGTACTCGATGCTCAGCTACGATAAACCAAGCGAGGCAGCCCGGCCAACTGGGTGTCTATAAAACGAAGACCGAAGACCGAAGACCCAAAAACGAAGACCCCTATTTTTTCTATTTTATTTTGATGATAATGAACCTGGCTGTCACAAAATCAAAATTACGAAATTTTTTGGGCGTCTGTTTGTGAAATATTCAAGGGTCTTTGTTTTATAGACACCCTATATGGGTGTCTACAAAACGAAGACCCTATATGGGTGTCTACAAAACGAAGACCGACGACCTGAAAAACGAAGACCTTCAATTATTTCGCAGTTATCTTATTGTAAGTATTTCAAAATCATCATAAAACAGTTGCCAAGTACAGGGACTCATTTGTAATTAACGCAATACGTATCTTCAACCAAAATGCCAAACGAAAATGAGTGATTTTAATTAGCTTGCAATGCGAATTTTACATTTTAAAATGTTTTAAATGAATCTGATTATTAATTATTTTAAATTGTTAGAAAACTTTCCAAATTTTAGTCACTGTTCTCCTTCTGGTGTGTTTTAATGTTTTTATAATGTTTTTTTGATGTTTCATGTTTGGCGCTGCTGCCCTCCAACGAAAGTAAGGCTTGCCTAGCGGTACGCGTATTTTGGGGGCCTACTAAAGGCCTTGAATATTTCATTCACAAACTTGTTTCATGTTAAAATAAACAGTAGGAATGTTATTATGTGCAGCATCGGTCATTTGGTAGTGGAACCAACATAGGATGGATGAGATAATTAAGGGTCTTTGTTTTATAGACACCCTATATGGGTGTCTACAAAACGAAGACCGAAAAACGAAGACCCATATTTTTTTTTCTCTCAATCGTGATGAAAATAATATTTTTAAATCACTTTATGCTATGTATATATAGTATTCGTCATTTCAGCACATTATTGCCTGAATAGTCAAGTTAATGATTTACTTTTTATTCCAGTTCCATTTCCAAAGCGGTCTGCCACGGCTGGCGGCAGACCGCGTCTTGGCGCTGCTACTAGGCTTGGCCTAGCGGTACTCAATGTTTTTTAACGTGGGATAGTTTGGTAAAATTATATGAATTATTCATAATAGGCCTAAGCCTTAACTATTTTGTGCATGCGCTATTTTCAAGTCTGTCAGCTTAAATAATCAGCGGCTCTGTGCAACGTGAGCGACTGTGTCCGATTTTGATAGAACGACGCACAATTCACGTGGTCTCAGGATTCAGCCTTAGTAGGCCTATGAACCTCGAAGCCTATTTGAATCAGTGCAAAAATTAAACAGGTGATTGATCTTATATATTTTCTCCATGATTTGATACATTAAAGTGATACATTTAGTCCTACTGTCAGTCTGCAAATACAATAGGCCTACTAAATAGTTGTTCAATTTATTAAAATTCCAAGCTAAGAAACTTCGATCGAGCTGCGAAACTGACAAATATGCCCATACAGCTTATAAGTTGGCCGAACGTTTTATCTTGATCTGTACCTTAGCTGCACTGATGATGCCTGTAAAGCCGAATATATAGTAATACATTATAAATTCAATTCAATTTTATTGGCCAAACTTATAAAAATGGCTTGAAATTTGCCTTGCTTGTCACAGATTACATTATCAATATTTAAAAGGGTACAAGATACACATTCAACAGGTCAGACGAAAAGTACAGAATAAAATTGGAATACCAAGAGCATTGCCATTAAAAAGTACAGTACACTGTAATACCGTACTAAAATAAGTTAAAATGTTACCATGACTAAAAAACGCATTCATTCATTCATTCTATTTATCCTTAACTCTATAATATGCAGAAGCATTCACCCGACAAAGAAAGATGAATATTGTATATACATATAGCATGAAAGTAATTTGAAAAAAATGTGGGTCTCGGGTCTTTGGTCTTCCTTTTGTAGACACCCATATAGGTCTTTGTAGCCCCTCCATACCGCCCCCCCCCCCACTAAAATACGCGTACCGCTAGGCCAGGCCTTACTTTTGTTTGAGGGCAACAGCACCAAGACGCGCTCTGCCGCCAGCAGTGGACGTACAACGTTGGCTGCCGCTTTGGAACTCATTAAATTGACTCAAATTCATGAAATAATGAAATACGTACTTGGCAACTGTTTTATGATGATTCTGAAATACTTGCAATAAGATAATTGCGAAATAATTGAAGGTCTTCGTTTTTCAGGTCTTTGTAGACACCCATATAGGGTGTCTACAAAACGAAGACCCTTGAATATTTCACAGACAGACGCCCAAAAAATTTTGTAATTTTGATTTTGTGACAGCCAGGTTCATTATCATCAAAAACTAGGAGCCGTAAAGATGACGACCTTCCCTGCATAACGCCCTAACTTCCCTCCCTCCCTTCTCTGGTACACTATGTTACAAATAATGTGTTCTATGGGTGGGGATATGAGACATAGACATTGTACTGTATGTATATGGATAGGAATTAAGTCTAAAGACCTATCGGGAAGTTTAAGAAGGCTTAGAATATAAAGTAAAGGGAAAGAATTAGACAGTGGAGTAGAGCAAGATACAATCCTGATAGCCTTTTTTGTATGATTAAGAGTTTAAAAAAAATATGAGATGGGTAGGAATTGGACCAAACAATGTTGCAGTAGCTCAAATAAAGAAGGATAAGTGAGAAATAGAGTATTACGAAAGACATCAGGAAGAAAAATGAAGTTACATTCATGTTGAGTATTTTTAAATTAAATTACCATGTTGCTTTTTATGTCATTTTTATGTTTTTAAAAAGTATAATTAAAGTGCTTAGCTTTTGCGACTATAATTAAAGCATTTAATTTATTAAGAAATTGTTTGTAGTTTGTTTCATTTTAAGTAGACGGACAGTGTAATCATTGGGCATACTGTAATATTTGCTTATGTTTAATAGATGTAAGGAGACCATCTGACATTCATGTTCCTTCCTTTTTCTGATTTTGGTAAGGAAAGTGTTTTATCAAAAATTATTTTAAAAGTATTTACAAATTTATTATTGACGAATCGATATACTAGATTTATTAACTTTACTTATATTTAAATAGCCTGGGTTCCAGGCCCTAATTTTAGGTTACTCACTCTTTATTGCACTTAGTGCGCGCCATACCTAATTTAATTGGCCCATACTCGATTTCTTTTTTTTTTTTCGAATTAGGGCCTGGGCAAACGATTCATGCGTACGATTTCCCACATCAAATTTGATGTGGGATATCGTATGCATGACTAATTTCGTAAATCACGTGATTGACTAACTTCTTGCATATAAATCAATCTTGGTAAATTTTCAAAATTGAAGATGCGGATGTCTCGACTAGAACAAGCTAACCAGCTCCCTTTTAGCTACCTATACTTGAATTAAAACAGTTAGTATATAGTTCTGGCCTGCTGAGAACGACATGGACTGATAACCGTAGGCTATACTTAGGAACCTTGCTCACCACTAGCATGCTACACAGATTTAGGCCTTTAGGGTAGAATATTGTTAAAAAGGTAGGCCTCTGTTAGTAAGAACTTAAAAATACGCCAAGCCTCTACTAGTGTAGGCTAGGCCTACTACTCCTGACTCCAGACGAGGCCTGAGCCATCCTTCTGGAAAGTTAAAGTTTTGTTGTATTTGTATGGTATGCCATCTAGACGTTTAAGCTTAATTGTTTTTGCCATTGCCAAAATTAGTCTTACTAGGGTCTATTCTAAATATTTTAGGCCCGTTTTATTAGGGAGGACTATTTAAATTTAATCATGCCTAACTAGTCGACGCGAGTGACTCAGATTCGTGGCTCCAAAAATATGAACATTTTATTGGTTGAAATTGTTTATTTCGGTCCGCCCATTTATCCAAATACGGAATATAAGATTACGTCATTCTGTTTGTATCCTGGTGCCTGATTTCAGTGTTTTACAAGTCGCTTATTCCGTCTCTAAATTAACTTTCTCGTTGGTGGCGCTGTCCAGAATGAGAAAAATAATAAAAAATAAGAGACTTGTGGCAAGTCTAATATTTAAAGAGCAAGCTTCGGTATTTAGGCCTTTTTAAATGCAATGATAATTATTATTCAGGTAGTAATACTTAATGAATTTTTTTGTGGGGATTCAATTTACTGACGTATTGTCAGTTTCCTAATAATGATTGTTCTATTGATGATGTTATGATTAATTGTGTTAGTTTTGCTGATGGCATGGTTCTAATCGCTCCCTCTGTTGCTGGACTTCAGAATCTGAAAAATGTTTGTGAGGTATTTGCAATTGATGAAGATAAATTGTATAAAAAGAGTGTATGCATTTATGTCCACGAACACAAATATTTGAAGGTTTGCGAAGTATTAGATTAGATGGATCTAATTTAAATTCTGTTGAGTCAATAACGTATCTAGGTCATGTGACTTGTAATTTACTGGATGATGGTTTTGATAATAACAAACAGTATAGGACCCTCGGTATCAGAGGTAACACTTTATGTAGGACATTTCCAGGTGTTCTACATAGGTTAAATATCAATTATTTAGGACTTATTGCGTCAATGTTTACGCCATGACTAAATGGAGTAAATTTAGTGAGGCTACTTTGAATTCATTTAGAGTATGTGTAAATAATGTGTTACGTAAATGATTGAAGTTACTAAGGAACAACAGCACAAGTATGATGCTTGTGACTAATGTCCCCTCTTTTTATGAATATTGGAGAAACACCATACGCAGGTTTGTGAGTAGACTTTGTGCTAGCTCTAACGGTTGATTCAAAACAATTGTTGACTCTGCTCTTCACATCATTGATGGTGTAAGCTAATTTGTAGTTTGTAAATATTGCTTGTATTGAAGAATGTGCAGTATAGGTTTATCACTTGTCTTTATATTTTTTTGTTATATGGATATTTATATCTGAAATAAAGAAATGAATGAATGAATAAATACTTGGTATACTAGTTCTATTATTACATTTTTGTCTAAGCTTACCGGCGTTTTATTGGCATGCCTATGGTTTAGGCCTAATTTAGACACTCTGGCCTGCGATTTTTTTTTCGTGAAGAGCCAAGCATAGGGAGACATATAAAGCGCTCTGATTGGCTAATGATAAGATGAAATAATCACACTTTTGTTTCACTGACAGTCGCAGGGCATCTCGCACACTCGTCAGAGCAATGCGATACATGCCAACCAAACAATCCTCGTAAATGAAACGTGCCGACTAAGCCTGATCTTTATATGTATAACAGATTACAGTATTGGGAAACATTTAGTAGGCTACCATAGTCACAGCTGATCATACAACTCTAATACCCACTGCTACCAATAGGCCTAGAAAATACTGTAGTAGGGCCTACTATGAGTACAAACGAGGTCGTTTGCATAGTAGGGCCTAATAGTAGGCCTAGATTTAGTAGGCCCTAGGGATCAGATTTTAGGCGAGAAATGTTATACTGTACCTTGTTTAGCGATTTCGAATAGTTAACGCACCCTCCCCAACGAAAAATAGTAATTTTAGAAAAACATAAAAGTGTAACATATTTTTATTATGACTTTCACTCCCCTGAAATATCCACAAATTAGATACTTTTAAAACATTATCAATCACATTACAACACTGTTTCAATTCATATCAATGAAAATTTTATTTTCATTTGTCCTTCACCTAAATGCTTTTGGAAAAATGATTTTGCTAAATAATTGTTCCCTCCCTCTGACAGCTACTACAAAAATAAGTTCACTAAACAAGGCACAGTATTATTCGAAAAGTCTTTCCTTTACCTAACTGTCTATGTCTGTTAATGGTAGCCAATCAGTATACAAATGGTGTACAGTGATAGTAAAGCGGTCAAAAGTTAGTATTGACGACATCAACAGTAATAATAATAATTATTATTAATAAAAGTTAGTGTATTGCACCACTTCAATTTATCTTTTCTTCCTCTGAATGTGTGCAGTATGAATACTATTTATTGATGGTGTCTATTTTATTAACCATATCACGTATATTGTTGGTATTTGTATCTGTATTTTAATGTATAAATCTAAGCTGTAAAGTCAACTTTCTTCACTACTGTACAATATATTGCTCTCTCGTTCTTGTGCATTTACACTCGCACAAAATTGCGCATCTAAAAAACTGAAACAAGTAAATTATAAAACACTGTAGTCAATAATATTATATCTGTTATGTTATTTTTCTTTATTGTTCTTTTTTTTTCTCGAATTATAAATAATAAAACCAGCTTATAAATGATATAATAAAGTGTGAAATTAACAGATATAATTCACAGCTAATAAATTAAGGCAACCCTTAATTGTGTTTGTAAATATTAGCTAACAAATACAGTAATAAATATAATAGTACAGAACAGTGAGAAAAGCAGATGTGTGACCATTAGTACAATCACAAACTTTATCTAGTTTTTAAATAAATAATGCAATATCTATTTTCCGAAGTGGTACTGTTTAAACTATTACTATTATTGGGAAAGAGTGTAATTTACATTTTTTGACTTAGAAGAATAAGTTTTTTTCAAGGTTTTGGTTTTCTGTAAACACCAGTTTACGGCAGAATAGACAAGATAAGCCCTATGGTCTATGTTGGGTTTCAAAAGAGCCCATTAAGTTTTTAGGAATCTACCTCGGTCATGACCAAGAATTATGCGAACAAAAAAATTGGACAGACAAAATGCTTAGCCTAGAAAGACTTCTAGACACATGGAATAAGAGAAACCTTTCTTTTCTGGGTAAAGTTTTAATAATATAGACACTTGGTTTGTCAAAACTGATATATAATGCTAGTATTATTAAAACGCCTGAAGAAATAATTAAAAAAACTAATAAATTAATTTTTAATTTTCTATGGAGTGGTAAAACAGAGAAAATAAAGAGAACAACATTATTTACAGATTATAAATATGGTGGTTTAAAAATGGTAGACTTCCAGTCTTAAATAAAGTCTCTACAAATAAGTTGGATTAAAAGATTGCTTAACAAAGACATGGGCAAATGGAAAGAAATACCATTGTTTTATTTGTCCATAATTGGTCTTGTTGAATGTTACCTAAGTATGTCAAATTTAATTGATCCAAAAAGTACAATCTTAAATAAATTGCCTTCTTTTTATAAAGAAATGTTAGAGTCCTTAATAACTGTCTTTAACAAGACAAAACAACTTCCCAAATCAATTAATGACATTATAGAACAAAACCTATGGGGAAATGATCTAGTTGTCTCAAAAAACAAACCTTTGTACTTTAAACATTGGATTGACTCTGCCTTTGTGAAAATCAAAGATATCTTAAAGAAAAATAATTTTTTGTCTACAAACACGTTAGTAAGAAACAAAACTGGTTAGCCGAATTTTCCATGGTAAAGAATGCGATCCCATGTAATTGGAAAAGGATAATAAAAAATCAAAATCCGGACACTGCTCCTGCTACCAATATAGATAATAACACCTTTATTATAATAAGCAAATTAAAAACCAAAGACATATATAAAAGTATAATTAAAAACAAATGCACATTTCCATCTACAGCGCAAATAAATTGGGAAAGAATATTAAATAAAAAACTTGCATGGGAAAACATTTGGATAAAAAGGGTCATCAAAACAAAAGAAATGAAGCTCGCACACTTTAATTTTAGATTACTACATGGAATTCTACCGACAAATAAAAGACTTTACAAGTGGAACGTCATAAATACTGATAAATGCGTTTTATGTAATAAAGTTCAAGATGAAAAACATTTACTCTATGAATGTGTAAATGCCCAAATTGTATGGGACTCAATTAATAGCTTAATCACACCAGTAAATATAACATTTGATAATGTGATAACTGGAACAATTATACAGTATATACTGTAGGCTCATTCTGTTTGTATAAAGCAAAAATTCTGAAATCTCTGAAAAAGTGGAACTTTAGTTCAATCAATACTCTGTTAATGAATGAATTACATTTGAGATACCTGATATGACATAATTTAAAAAATTACCATTACACAACGAAGATATTTTATTTATGTGTGAATGTATTTCTTTTCATAAAAATAAAAGGAATACATTCATAAAAATATTAAAGATATAGGCCTAGTAAATCGACATGTGGTAAATGTATGATGAAATGTTTAACTGTTAAAACAAAATACAAGAAAACTGATTCTAGTATCACAATTACGGTTACCTCCTTAATTTCAGCTATGTAATTATTAGTTGAATGAACGAAAATTGGAATAAAAATTGATATATGGCGTTTATGTATGTATGTGTATGTATGTATATATAGATACATATGTGTTTGTTTGCGTATGTATGTGTATATAAATTGATGTTAGTATGTATATGTTTGTGTGTGTATCTCTATGTATATGTGTATGTGTATATGTGTTTTTGTGTGTATGTATGTATGTATATATATGTAAATGTGTATATATATTAATGTATTTGTGTTTGTGTATGTGTGTATATATAAAAATATATGTGTGTATGTATATGTGTGTGTCTGTGTAGGTGTGTGTATGTATGTAGTATGTATATATATATGTATATATGTGTATGTATATGTATATATATATATATACACACACTATGGTTTTTTTTTATCAATATTTACTATTGATGTTTTCTGTGGTTAAAACTGATTATAAAAAATAATAATAATTTGATAGTACTGTTGTCATTGAATTATATAAATATTTAAAAAAAAAAAAGAAAACGAAGAGAATGAAAAGAACTTGAAAAAAAAAGAAATATTGTATTGTTCCTTTTTAATGAAGATTGTTGAAATAAATGTGGTGGTTACGCCACGAAAGAGAAAAAAAGGTTACGGCAGATCTTTTTTCTTTTTGCTTTCAAGAAGTACTCAGTGGAAATTTTTTCAGTACAATTTTTGCACAACCTTCCATTATCCAACTCTAAATGAACGAGGAGCGAACTTAGGTAGTCAATATCTAGGCTAGGCTAATTGATTTCTAAATCAATAACCCACCTTAAAGGACTATATGTCGTTTTCTTCTTTGCAACAGGGGTCAGTCTTTGCAAAAGTCAGTTAGGCCTATTCTACGACGTTTCTACGATTCTTTATCACTAAAAATTAACAAACACTCGTTTTGACGCACCGTTCTGTAGTGTGTAGTGTGTGTCTGCTGTTGAAAACAAACTTCCTAGCCTAATTTTGTGACTGGCTATGATGACTGAGATGGGACCATGTTGATTTATTAATATTTTGTTTGGGATGGAAAAAAGGAGGGTCAATATCCCCAAAATGCTCCATCAGCACATAGTTTAGTGTGTGCGCTATGAACAGTATGGCTATGGAACGGTTGGTATATTTCTTACAAACATTCAGCCAAAGGCCAGTGAAAGTTGAGACGGCAACCGGGTTTTTATCGATGTTTGCCATCCTTATGTGTGTGCTATCGTAAAGTCATGCTTTGATGGAGTTGCGTTCAATTTAAATCTCCGAACTTCTGAAGCTGGGATATTCTATAAATGTAGGCTTGTTACTATCGCAGGCTACAATTTTTAAAAACGGATGACCAAATAATGAAGTAGGTGCTAAATTTTGATTTAATGGTAGGTAAGTTTAAAACAGACATTCCGTCCGAGTGGGACTCATTCAAAATTTCGAGGGGGTTCGCTAGAAAACGGGGTTCGCCCGAACAATAACCCCCCTCCCCCGGCTACGGGCCTGCTCCTTACAATTTTACCTTGATCGTTGTGGGTTACGTATACAGTAATAATAGAGAAAACTTACTCTGAGAAAACCATAGTCTGCAATGGGTGAAGCAAACCTAGGCCTACAGGTATATACTTTCTTGGGATCACTCGCACCACCGTATCCGTATTCGAGTGCGAGTTGGTTGATTCTTGTGCGATGATGTCATCTTATCATTAGCCAATCAGAGCGCTTTAAAAAAAAATCGCCTCCTGCCTTAGGAGTTTTAACAGCCATTTAAGGCCTATTACGTTTTATATACAGTAGTCCAATTTGAAAATTTTTCGACCGACCGCCCGACAATCCCGATTCTGTTTGTCACAACAATATTTTTGCCTAAATGGATATATTTTCGTTATTAAATCAAATTTTATATTCAAATGCCTGCAAATATACAGTAAATTACAAATAAACTTCTTAAGATTAACAACTGATATAGGTTTTATGTTTCAAAAATAATAATATAATTGTATTACTTTATTTTTAGCAGTATCAAGTTAGGGATGTGGCTATTAAAGGTTCTTTAAAATATACCTTACATCATCTTCACGACCTCATATATGTTTTTTCTGATGTACATTTATAATTTTTGGCTGTATCAAAAGTTTGTCTATGTCAGCCGCTTCTAGAGCACTGAGTAGTTTACATTACCAGACTTACAGACAAATTCACAACTCTCCTGATTTAACCGCTCAACACAACCATATGACCATCAATGTCATTCAGTAATGTGGCTTTTTACGAAAATTTGAATCAGATAACTGTTAATATTTATGAGGTTAATCTACTTTTCTACAAAAGAAATTCTCATTCCTCGTCCACAATTATTGGGTGGTAAGTAAAAGGTACGGTATTACTTGTTTTGTTTCTGTGACTTCCTGAATTAATTCCCTATTTATTTCGAATGTGATTCTTCTCACTATGTATATTTTGCACTATATTATGTAGAATAATGAGCAATTAATATGTTCAGTTTATTTATCTAATTATAACTTCCTTCCAGACGCTGTTGTTTCTTATTCGGGATTGGCGGGGTATTAAAGAGTTCAAGTTTGGTGAAGATCAAGGGAAACAATACCTAGACAAGTTCATGGTTAGTCAAACTTAATAATTGTTTGGTTTCCATCCGTCTGTGTATTGAAATCTTCGAGTATACACGTACACGTAACGTATATACGGATTAAAATTAGACTGAACCGCCATTACCGTGTATGGTTTCCTATCTAAAACCTATGTAACAAATAACAACCTAAGTTTAAGTGTATTATAAGTATCAAAGAACATTTAAGTAATTTTACGTGAAGAATAACATTGTTCAGGAATGTGTCAGATTTTAATTTCCGATATTATTATATTGAGAAAGTAAAACCATCCTGTATAATATTTTTTTTTTTTTAGTTATTCCATTCCAATTTTTTGTTTTATGCTATTTCCCCCCCCAAAAAAATCTCAAGTTTTTATTAGTATTTCTTTTTTTTTTATATTCTACTTCTATATATTTTAAAATTTTATTTTATTTATTTTTCATTTATAGGCTTATT